TATAGGATACTCCCCTTTCGTGAATTACTGCGTTATACCTTTTATAAAAATCTCATCTACTGAAAAAGGGAGCCCCCTTGATCACCTGAAGAGATTTTTAGGCAGAATTGGCATAATTATTACCGTGAGGATTGAGCTGCCAAAAGAGATTATCCTCCTTTGGGCTGGAAGAGAAGATTTATGCAGTCCATAGAAAAATAAAAAGAATAAAGTATTCTGAAGCCAAAGGCTCTTGGATGGGTAGTTGAATAGGGGGATTATAGGTCGGATGTCTCCGTGAGCAGTAAGCACCAGATCTCCCCTTATTTTGGGAAAGCTGGTGGCCGCGTGTGAATTCTTTCAAGGCAAAGGGTGGCCTGATTCGACATTCTTGTTTACTCTGATCCGGTCGAGGTGGTTTTCGTTTACCAGCACGTAATATTTTGGGTAAACGGATCCGGACCCGTGATTTGACGGTCCCGGAGGGTCCGTGGAAAAATATGGGACTCGGGCGTATGCCCGGAATCGAATTCCGAGGTTCCAAGCCCGAGAAATGAATTTTTGAGTAAAATTGTTTCTCTGAAATTATTAAGGAAACTAGAAATGAAATTTGATTAAAAGACTGTGGTATCGGGCCCGTATATTGGTTCCAGCGCCCGGTACAAGTCTTATATATGGTTTAAGCGTCTTCTGTGGAGTTTGGTTGAAATCGGACGTCGTTTGACGTGTTTCGAACTTAAAATGGAAAATTGATGTTTTACAGAAATTTGGAAGAAATCATGAGTTTTGAGGCTTGATCCATTTTTTTCGATGTTATTTTGGCGATTTGATCGCACGAGTAAGTCTGTAGGGTATTATTGAGGTTGTGTGTATATTCGGTTTGGAGCCCCGAGGGCTCGGGTGAGTTTTGGATAGGCCACGGAGTGCATTTTAGAACTTGGAAAATTGCTGGTATGATCTGACCTGCAGGCTTCGCATTGCGAAGCCTGGCTCGCAAATGCGAGCTCGCAAATGCGAAGAATCCTTCGCAAATGCGAAGGTGCACTCATTGCACAAGGATCGCAAATGCGATCATAGCATCGCAAATGCGAAAGCTGGGACTTCCGCAAATGCGACACTTCTGTTCGCAAATGCGAAGTCCCCAAATATGCCAATGGTTCGCAAATGCGAACTTTTGTTCGCAATTCCCAAAGTAGCAGGTCGGGGTTCGCAATTGCGAACCTATTGCGAACCCCAGTTCGCATTTTCCACATCTGCAACCTGCATTTTTCATACTTAGACGAATTTCAAGTCATTTTTCACCCCACTTTAAAAATACAACTCCTTAGGCGATTTTTCAAGAACAAGTTTCATCCCAAATCATTTGTAAGTCGATTTTTACTTAACTCTTTCAATCATTAACATCATTTAACATGTTTTCAACTTAAAATCAATGATTTTCATGGGAGAAATTGGGGGTTTTGGGTAGAACCTAGATTTTCTATAAATTGGGGTTTGGACCTCAATTTGAGGTCCGATTTTAAAACAAATTGCATATCTGAGTTCGTGGGGGAATGGGTAACCGGGTTTTGGTTCGAACCTCGGGTTTTGACCACGTGGGCTCGGGGGCAATTTTGGAATTTTTGGGAAAAACTTTGGGAAATTCATTTTTATGCATTCAAATTGATTCATTTAGTGTTTATTAACGTAATTAAGTAATTTGTGGCTAGATTCGAGCGGATTGGAGGTGGAATTACGAGGTAAAGCCATAGTTGAGGCTTGAGTTGAGTTCAAGGCATCAAGGTAAGTGTTTGGTTTAACCCTAGCTTGAGGGAATAGGAGTTGAGTCTTATTTGTAACTTGCTAATTGTCGAGTACGATGTACAGACATGGTGACGAGTATCTATGCATTGGTGTCTAGCATGACCGTGAGTCCTTATTTGTGGATAGTTTGGTTGTTGTTATGCCTTCCATGCTTAAATGATGACTTCTATATATTGTAAAGACCTTGTGAAAGAAATTGTGATCTTGAAACTTCGTGGAGCATTGGCTCGGGTTGAAATACAAATTGTGAAGGTATATGAGATAAGTAACTCTTTGGAGCATTGGCTCAAGTGATAATGTGAACTATGAGATGAAAGTGAAAGAAAGAAAAGAGTTAATGATTTATTCCCTTGCCGGGACGTTGTCGGTTATTGATATTGTACCCTTGCCGGGTTTTTAATTGTTGTTTGTGTTCCCTTGCCGGGATTCTCGTTATTGTTTATTTATTCCCTTGCCCTTGTTTGTGATTGTTCATTGGGTGAGGAAGAGTGTTAAAGCACGAAGGGTGATGTCGTGCACTGTTTGTTTATGGTAAGGAAAGAGTGTAAAGCACGAAGGGTGATGCCGTGCATTGTTGCTTATTATGAGAAAGAGTGTTAAAGCACGAAGGGTGATGTCGTGCCGCACGATGTACCATTCCGTACCGATTCTATTGATATATATGAGGAATGAGAGTAAAAGCACGAAGGGTGATGCCGTGTACATGTTATTGCTTGATGAGGACGATAGTAAAATCACGAAGGGTGATGCCGTGCACTGGTTGAATTCTGTTTCATTACATACTATTGAGTTGTGCTGTATTCCTTTATTACTGGACGACTCTTATTTGGAATTTATTATACTCCCCACAGCATGTTTCCCCTCCCATATTATTTATCTGTTTTGTATTTCGATTCCGCTGTATATATGTATGAAATTGAACAGGTTTATGTGGTAGTCTGGTCTAGCCTCGTCACTACTTCGCCGGGGTTAGGCTAGACACTTACCAGCACATGGGGTCGGTTATGCTGATGCTACACTCTGTGCATTTTTTTTTTGCACAGGCCCAGGTTTCGAGCAGCAGCAGCAGCATTAGCACGGGAGCAGGCTTTCAGTATCGTGAGACCCGAGGTAGCCTTGCAGGCGTCCGCAGGCCCGGCGTCTCTCTCTTGTTCTCTCTATTAGACTGTTGCCTCTTTGTATTCGAGAACAACTTATGTGTTCTTTCAGACCCTTGTATTTAGAAATTCTTAGCAGTTCGTGAGTATTGTGACACCGGTCTTGGGTAGAGGCTTATATTGACTACTCCGTGTTTTATTCAGTTCCTATAATTAAGACTTCCGTTATTATTTAATTTCGTTGTTTTATATTGTTGTCATAAATTGTTAAAAAGATTTGTTTATTAATGGAAAAGTAATCAAAATGGCTTGCCTAGCTACTACGAGTAGGCGCCATCACGACTCTCGAGGGTGGAAAATTCGGGTCATGACAGTTTTACTCTAAACCCATAATTTCCACTAATTTACATGTTGTAATCTACCCATTAACTATGTATTAAACTCACATTAAGTAGAAATAACCTACCTCCCAAAGCTAGGCTGAAATCTCCCCTTTTGAAGCTCCCAAATCGCCCAAGAATAGAGTGAAATATGTCAAAAATGACACATTTCCATATTAAATGAAGGCCATTGCCTTTAGCGATTTCCGCACCTGCGATTAGGGGACCGTATCTGCGGTCTCGCTTCTGCATGAGATCGTCCGCTTCTAGGAAATTCGGCCGGGCCAGCTGGGGCCGCATATGCGATCTGGTGACCGATTCTACGTATTCGCTTCTGCGAAAGAGGAGCCGCATCTGCGGAACCTGGGCTCTGTCTTTTGGCCGCATCTGTTGGTTCGCACATGCGACTGGCCAACCGCAGGTGCGATTATGACAGAACTGGAGCTTCAGCTCCTTCTCAAATTTTCAACTTAGCTCGAGCCTCGTCCGATTGACGCTCGGGGGCCTCGGGGCTCCGCCCGAACATACCGACAAGTTTGGAATAAAAAAACGGACTCGCTCGAACCCTCTGAACGCCTGCAACGACTTTAAATCTAAGAATCATACCCTAAAACCAATTTAATCAAACTTATGAACTTCAAGTTCTTCAATCTACTTCCAATGTGCCGCAGCGTACCTATACTACTCGGATTGACACCAAATTTTTGCGTGGAAGTCTTAAATGATATTATGGAACTACTCCCGGTCTCGAAATTACGTTCGAACCTCGATATCACAAAACCCGATCCGGACATAAGCTCAAGTCCGAAATCATCATAAGAACCTGTTGAGACCTTCAAATCCTGATTCCGAGGTCATTTATTCAAATTGTTGACCGAAGTCAAACTTGGCCTTTAAAGCCAACTTTAAGGAACCAAGTATTCCGATTTCAACCCAAACTCTTCCAAATCTCGAACTAACCATCCCCGCAAGTCGTAAATCAGTAAAAGCAAGTACAGGAAATCTTATTTAGGGGAACAAGGTTCTAGAAAGTAAAACAACCAGTTGGGTCCTTACAGAAAATGTTAATATTAGTGATAGTTTATGTTCTAGAGAAATCATAAATGGTGAAAAACAAAGGAAGAAGATGGAGAAGATGGCGTTACAACCTAATGATTCTAAGGTTTTGTTTGGGTTTCAGACAGGAGGGAGTATATGTTCCTCTTGAAGTCTTCTAGAGAATACAAATGGAGGTTTTTATGCCATTGGATCACATTCACATGTAAATAATCTGGACCGTCCATTTGTAAAGGATAAAGATTACACATTGGATTCTTTGCGCACATGACCAAGCTGAGTCACTATATAGGAGTCATTTTCTGTTATTTTATAGTCCAGTAAATTTTAGACACTTGTATAGATATTTACATTATTCATTTATTTTCTTTCAGAGAAATAGTTGTATAAATAAAAGGGAAATGAGAAAGGACACAGAAAATTTTCCAATTCATTCGTTCATTTTCTACATGGTATCAGTCGCCACTTAGATTCTGGACTTCTTCTGCTTTCTTTCTTTTTCACCTCTATTTCATTTATCCTTTCAATCCAAAAGGTTTCTTCATCTGATGTTCCTTCTAAGGATGGTGGTTCTAGCACATCTCCTACTATTTATGCTAGCCATCCTTATTTTCTTGACCCATCAGATTCACCCGGTATGACTGTCGTCACTTCTGTCTTCGATGGTCGTGGCTATGGAGGTTAGATGAGGTCTCTTCTCATTGCCTTTTTAGCTAAAAATAAGTTGGGCTTCATTGATGGGAGTTGCTCTGCTCCTGCTTCTGATTCTACCTCTTTCAGCTTGTGGACTCGGTGTAATGATATGGTAACCTCTTGGTTACTCATCTCCCTTTCAAAGGAAATTGCTGCTAGTGTTCGTTACTCCAAATCTGCTCAAGCTCTTTGGACAGATATTAAGGATAGGTTTGGCCAATCCAATGGGGCTAAACTCTATCACCTACAAAAGGAAATAAGTGACTTAATGAAAGGATCAGGTGATATTGCTGGCTATTTCACTATATTGAAGCTATTATGGGATGAACTTGATGCTATTTACACTACTCTTACATGTTCGTGTGCCTGCACCTGTGGTGGCAAGGTGAAATTGGTTAAGTCTCTTCAAGATGAAAGGCTGATTCAATTTCTCATGGCCTTGAATGATACATATTCTCCTGTTAGGAGCAACATCCTGATGATGTCCCCTCTCCCAACATCAACATTGCCTATTTTCTGTCGGTTCAAGATGAGAGGCAGAGGGAAGTGTATGTGAATCCTCAGTTTCCTGGTGGCTCTTCTTCTTTCCTAGCCACACATAAAAATATTTCACGTCAGAAATCTCAATCATCAGACTTTAAAGGAAGAAGAATAACTTGATTTTTTCTCATTGCAAGAAACCAGGCCATTCAGTTGACAAATGCTATCGGATAATTGGTTTCCCTTCTGATTTTAAGTTCACCAAAACTCCTAAGCTTCATGGATCTGTCAAGAGCAATGTTGTTTTGAGTTCCCTGCACAGCCTACAGGAAACACTAGAGGTAATCCTATTACAGAAGACCAATTCTTTCAGCTGGTTCACCTGCTTAACAATGCACAGCTTGGTCACACAAGAAGCTCAACCACATAAGTTAATGCTAATGTTGTTTAGTGTGTTGTTAACATCTTCAATAGTCCTTCTGCTTATCTCACATATGCCAATACTCATTCTTGGATTAATGATTCAGGGGCTTCTAAACATATGTCTTATGATACTAAGTTCTTTACTACTCTTTCTCCTTTACCTACTCCATTGTTCATTAACTTACCTAATTCCTTTAGAGTTAGGGTGACTCATAGTGGGACAATTACTTTTTTCTCTGATCTCGTTCTACATAATGTCTTATTTTTCCCTTCTTTCAGGATCAATCTCATTTCTATCAACAAGTTTTGCACTCAGTTCCATTGTCTTCTAATATTTTCTTCCACTAATTGTCTATTACAGGACCCACTAAAACTTTAGTGAAGACCCTTCTGGTTCTTGGTGAAGCAAGAAATGGCATCTATCTTCTTCATTCAGCCCTTTCTAACTTTCAGAGTTTTTTCAAGCACAATTTAGTTTCTAAGTCTAGTTTCTTAGCTTCTCCTTGTATTTCAGTTTTCTCCTCTGTTTTTGAATCAGATACTATTCCTGTAAGCAGCACTTTTGATGTAAAACTATGGCACATTCGACTTGGCCACATGCCTATTTCTGCAATGAAGAAAATCAGTTTTATTTCATCTTCTACTCTTGATTGTCCCTGTGATGTTTGCTCTTTAGCAAGGCAGTCTAGATTGCCTTTCCATTCGAGTTATATCAAAACTACTACTATCTTTGAGTTAATTCATTTGGATACATGGGGACCCTATAAGTCACCTACTTATGATGGTTTCAAGTATTTTTTAACCATAGTTGATGACTTTAGTAGAGCTACTTTGACTTATCTCATGAGCACTAAAAGCAATGCCTTCTCTTTGATCAAACATTTTTTAGCTATGGTTGAGAGGCAATTTAATACTAAGGTTAAAAAGATTAGACCTGACAATGCTCTTGAATTGGGAGGGGGTTCTAGCATTTCAGAATTTTTTGCTTCTCAGCGTATTTTACATCAAATCTCTTGCACTGCTACCCCTCAACAAAATAGAATTGTTGAGAGGAAGCACAAGTATCTTTTGGAGACTTCTAGAGCTTTATTGCATCAATCTAGGTTGCCTATCTCTTACTGGGGTGAATGCTTACTCACTACCTTTTTTATCAATAGGTTCACTTCCTCTGTTCTCAAAGGTCAAACTCCATATCAAATTCTATTTGGAAAGTCTCCATCCTATGATTATCTTAGGTGCTTTGGGTGTTTGTGTTATGCTTCTACTCTTACACATATCAGGTTAAAATTTCCCCCTAGATCTATACCTTGTGTTTTTTTGGGATATCCCCATGGAAAAAAGGGATATAAGCTCTTGGATCTTAACACCAAAAGAGTTTTTGTTTTCAGGGATGTTCAGTTTCATGAGTCTGAATTTCCTTTTTCATCTATCACCTCCGATTCACCTCTATTTACTTCCCCTTCTCCTCCTTCCTCACTTGTTGAGTCTACTCTTCCTAGTCCTAATTCTTCTTCTAGTTCACCTCCTTATTCATCTTCCTCACCTCCTTCTTCCTCTTCTTACCATATTTCATCCCCAAATCCATCTACCTAACCTATTTCATCCCCAAGTCCATCTCCTGTTCCTCCTTTAAGAAGGTCACAGGGGGATCACATCACACCTGCTTATCTCTCCGATTACATTTGTGGTTCAGTAGTTCTAACTGATTTAACTACTTCCTGTTTTTCCCATCCCATCCTTCCCCTTGTTTATTCTTTCGCTTCTCTTTCTTTGACTAATCAACATATGCTTAATTCTATTTTCAACACTGTTGAACCTACTAGCTTCTCTCAGGTTGTCCAACATCCTAGTTGGCAGCAAGCTATGACTTCTGAAATCAAAGCTCTTGAGGATAATCAAATGTGGGAAGTGGTTGAATTACCTGTTGGCAAGAAGGCTTTGCCTTGCAAATGGATTTACAAAGTTAAACACAAATATGATGGAAGCATCGAAAGATTGAAAGCTAGATTGGTGATTAGAGGTGACGCTCAACGTGAAGGGATTGATTTTAATGAAACCTACTCTCCCGTGGTTAAAATGACTACTATTCGATGCATTCTTGCTGTTGCAATTAAGAAAGGCTGGTCATTGTCACAATTAGATGTGAACAATGCCTTTTTACATGGGATTTTACAAGACGAAGTATATATGAAATTTCCTGCCGGTATACCTGCTCCTAGTCCTAACCATGTCTGTCGTCTTAAGAAATCACTTTGTTGTTTGCGACAAGCGTCGCGACAGTAGTATGCTCAACTTACAGCTGCTTTGAATATTTTAAGGGGTTTTCTTCTTCTTTGAATGATTATTCCCTATTTTTAAAACAATCAGGTGATTCTATATCTATCGTGTTAGTGTATGTTGATGACATACTACTTACTGGCATCCTACTGAGCTTTCTCAACTAGAACAATTCTTAAATGATGAATTTCAGATTAAGGATCTTGGAGACTTACATTATTTTCTTGGTTTGGAGGTTCTTCGAGAATCACATGGCCTGATTGTTTCTCAACGCAAATTCACCCTTGATCTCATCTCTGATTACAATTGTGGTCATTTACCCTCTGCTTCATCTCCTTTGGATCCATCTTGCAAACTTTCTGCCGATTCAGGGGATTTGCTTGCCGACCCCTCCTCTTATCGCAGGATTATTGGAAAATTGAACTATTTTACTCATACTCGCCGAGATCTCTCTTTTGTAGTGCAACACTTGTCTCAATTCCTGCAAGCTCCTCGACTTCCACACTTCAAAGCAGCCCCTTGGGTATATCTTCGCAAAGATCCTGGTCAACCGCTTTTTATGACTGCTCATCCATCTTTTTCTCTCATTTCCTTTTGCGATGCTGATTGGTCATCTTGTGTAGATTCTGGGAGGTCTATAAGTGGTTATTTTATCAGCCTTGGAGGCTCACCCGCTTCTTGGAAATCCAAAAAGCAAGCTTCTATTTCTCTATCTTCAGCAGAGGCTGAATATCGTTCAATGAGGCATCTTGTTACTGAGTTAACATGGCCGGATCGTCTCCTCAATGATCTTTCAGCTCTTCCGACTCTCCCTATCCCGGCTCATTCCATCAGGCAGCACTCCATGTCGCTCGGAATCCGTGTTTCATGAACGAACAAAACATGTGGAGCTCGATTGCCATTTCGTACGACAACAATTCCTCCCTGGCTTGATTTCTTTGAGTTTTGTTCCATCATCTGCTCAAATCGCAGATATCTTTACAAAGCTTTTATCTGGGACTTCACATAATTTCATCCTTGGCAAGTTGGGGCTTTCTTTGCTCCCCTCCAACTTGAGGGGGGTGTTATTATTAGTGATGATTTATGTTCTACAGAAATCATAAATGGTGAAAGACAGATGAATAAGATGGCGTTACAACCTAATGACTCTAAGGTTTTGTTTGGGTCTCATACCGGAGGGAGTATATGTTCCTCTTTAACTCTTCTAGAGAATACAGATGGAGGTTTTTATGCCATTGGGTCACATTCACATGTAAATAATCTAGACCGTCCATTTGTCACATTAGATTCTTTGGGCCCATGACCAAGCTGAGTCACTGTATAGGAGTTATTTTCTGTTATTTTATAGTCCAGTTAATTGTAGACACATGTATAACTATTTACATTATTCATTTATTTTCTTTCAGAGAAATAGTTGTATAAATACAAACAAAGAGAAATGAGAAAGGACACAAATTTTCCAATTCATTCGTTCATGAAGAACTGAAAAATTATTTGATAATTATATGAATCTTTTTCTAATTTCTTAAAATTCTTAAGTATGTTTTACTGGATAGTAAGAAAGCAGTTGGAATCTAATTCAAGTAATATGACATGCTGTTCAAACAAGTTAACTCATATAATATGATTAATATTTTTCGTGCATCGTGCCAATACCAATACTAGTAAAATAGGTATAACTAGCAAGACTACCAAGCTGACAAGCATAGAAAGAATAACCACCGGTTTTCAAGGGGCAAAAAGAAGTGCAGTTGCTTTCAATATGAAACATTAATTTTTATATATATATATA